CTTTCTATGACTGAATAATATTCCACTGTGCATATATCTCACATTTTTTTGCCCATTCATCCGCCAATGGACACTTTCTCCAAACTTGATTTTTTTTAAACTCCCTCAAGAATATAGCACTTTCACCTTATTTTTTATAAACCAGGCCTACCAAAATAATCTGAAAATGTGTCCTCAATAAATATTTGTTACACAAATGATAAAAATCTTGTCTTTATGTGAATATTGTCAGCATATCTCATATCATAATTTAATAAGTTTAATAAGTTTAATAAGCATTGAATTTTGTTTATTGCTTATTTTGTACATGAGGCGTTTCAGTTTTAACATAATTTTCAAAAGGAAGTAGTGCTTGAGAGTATAAACTTGGATGATCAGATTTAATTATCAGAGAAAAATTAAAAGGTTTTGAAGAAACATTAATATTTTATGGTAATTAATATTTAGATAAAATAAATTCAAATTTTTAGGCATTTTTTTCCCTGCAAATGTCCTTGAGTGCCTTAACAAAAACAGCAAAAACATGATCACAAATGGGCAGCTCTCTCAAGTGTACCCGCGAATAAGTTTAGGCAAACCGAACACCTCGCCTATCCCCAGTTACTCTGGACCCCAAATAAAAGATTTCGAATTATAAATATAAACTTACGTATAAGCCTGAATGTGAAACAAAAACAACTTCCCCTGTAACTAGTAAATAACAGGGGGAAAAAAACTTTTGAGCCTTGCCTGGCAGGATGCCAAAGATATACACTTGAGAATATTTTAAGGTAATTAGCATTTTTGTCTCTGTGTCAGTAAAAATAGGCTTTTGCCCGCTCCTAATTTTCTTTGGGTTAGTGAGACCATTGTATGAATGAAGGGCTGTTCAAGGCCATTTATATTGTGCAAACAGAGGCACAAATTAGAGAGGGCATGTTAATAAGGAGAGGGGGCTTATGAGTGCTCAATTATGAGCCCAGAACCTGTTTCTATTTTAGGGGGATAGAAAACACATCAATCTTGCTTTTAGAATATTTTCAATTAAAATGAACTGCACATAGCACTCGAAGAACCAGCAAATGCTGCGGCCGTGTGGATTTTTGAATAATTCTTACATACTATCTTAGTATCAGAACTGATACACGGATAACGGCTGAAATATAATTTGAGATCCCAGAAGACTGAGGTCCCTGAGCTGCATGAGAAATTCTAAAGGAAAAGAAACATAAAACTGGACCATCTGTTTCCCTTTTCAGCATGCAACCTTTGGAGTAGAATATTTGGAGGAAGATGCTGTTTAAAACCTGAGTCGGGATGAAATATAGTACATACACTCACAACATATCATTAAGTTCCTCTCTCCTAAGCATTGTCAATCGCGCCTGCAAGCCGGGTTCCGCATGTTAAAAACAAAACACCATGTTGGCTGCTGCACAGAACGGTCACTTCTCCCCACACAGTAGGGAGTAGATTGCCCTCCAGCCCTAGCCAGTGCTTTCTGCCTAACTGGACGGAGCAAAGAGAGGCCTCCACTGTGCACAGGCAAATGTTTGGGAATCTGACTGTAGTTTGCATATGCAACTATGTGCATAAGCCCAGTTTGCCCCTGCTTTAGCCGCTACTTTTGATTGCCTCATGTCTGTTTTTTGATATCTACTTATGAAAACATTTTGAGATATCAACCCCAAAGCTACCTTTTCCCCCATGTCAAATATTTATTTTACCTAACCAGGTAGCCAGTGTTCACATAATGTTCATAGAGTGGAAAAACACTAAATCAAGCAGTGAAGGGTGACAGGAATAAACGCCTTTGGTCTTGAAGAAAGAGAAACCAATAGCTCGCAACGCTATTCACTGAGCCCAATGTGGAACTTCTGCAAACCGTGACGGCCTTGGAGTTTTAGCTAGTCTTTTTCAGGTATTGCTAGTCCTCTCTCTTGAAACCTTTGTAACTAGGAAGGCTGAAGTGCCATTTAAAGTAAAAGGAAAGCAAAACAAGGAGCAGTGGGAAGCCATGGTGAGTTGCTTGTCAACGTATCCTTTCTTGATCTCATGGGAGAAATGGGCTTCACGGTGCTGGCATCATGGGCTTTATTTTGAATTTGTCTGTTATAACCTTAAAGCTTTCTTCAAGGGAGCTACATAGGGCTCGTGACCGATATACAAGGTCTGTTGCTATGGAAAGGTTCGTACTTAACCATATCATAGTGTTCTCTTGGGAGCAAGGAAACCAGGATATCGGTTTATTTTTTTTCTAAAACTCTGTATGTTTTATGGGATAAAACAAAACAAACAACATGTATAGCACATACTTCTGACATTAGAGAACAATTTGAGAGGCATTTTTTACATTGTCTGTATCAAGAAACTATTCTGCCATTCAGAGATCCATAGTGGCCTCTTACTAGAGAAGTTAGTACAGTAATAATGGGTAGATGTCAATGACTCATGGTGTAGTATCTAAGCTCGCCTGGTGCTTCCATCTCTAAGGTCGTTTCCGTGTTGCATTTCTCACTTCCACCTGAATCTCTGCTGGTGGGTCCACAAGAGAGCTATCCTTTTGGCATGTTGTCTAATGCTCCTTCCTTGGTGAATAATTTCAACACAATATAACCGTACCGTGAATGCTTGTTGCTCCTGAGTCTTCTGCTGGAAACACAAAGTCTTCTGCCCTAATATTAGTCTTGGCTTTTCTGCAAAAAATGCAACAGTTGTTTAAACACAATCTAAACATGTTCAGCTTTCACATTTTTCTTTGTATCACACATTGCAAAGGATTGTTTTGTTTATTTATGTATTTATTTGTTTGTTTTTATGAGGAAGATTAGCTCTGAGCTAACATCTGTACCAATCTTCCTCTACTTTGTATGTGGGATGCCTCCACAGCATGACTCATGAATGGAGTAGGTCTGCACCCAGGATCTGAACCTGCGAGCCCTGGGCCGCCAAAGCGGAAAGCATAGAACTTGAACCACTTGGCCATGGAGCCAGCCCTCCTGTTTTATTTTTTAACAGTGATATATTGTATGCTGCTAACTCCTACAGTGGTAGGAAAGCATGTTGGTTCACAGCATGGACTCTAGAGTCAGACTTCCAGCATGGAAGTCCAGGTATGCCATTTGTAGGCTGTGTGATCTTGGGCAGGCTTCTTAACCTCTCTGTGCCTTTTTCCACATCTGTAACACTGGAATAATAATAGTACCTGTTTCATAGAGTTGAAGTGGGAATTAAATGAGGTAGTTCTGGTAAAGCAGTTAGAATAGTGCCTGGCACTTAGTAGGCGTGCAATAAGTAAGAAATGTATTCAATACATTATTGAATGTCTTTGTCATCCTACAATTTTTAATCTTGCCTTTTTCCATGAATCTGCAGCCACTTCCCTTAACTCAGAAGATTTTAAAATGGTAGAATCTGGGCCGTGTGGCAGGAGTGGGGCCTTCCTGTGTCCCATAAATATTACCAGAATGTAGATGGCTGCCCCACACCTCTGAAGACAACTTCGGCTTTTAGTCTGAAATGGGTGTGATTCCCTCTTTGCCTGTGGTCCTGCTCAAAGCTCCTTTTGGGCTCTAGATAATACAAATGTAAAAGCAGTTTGTCAAGATGTGTATATGTTAAAAGTGTCCTTAAACTTTCTGTTTACATCACTGCTTTATTAATAATTCTTGTGTGTTATTAAATGTAGAAAGAGCTTTAAAATGACTTTGATAATTTACCCCAACGTATGCAAGGCTTTACCGGGTTTCCAAGTGTAATAAATGTAGACACACAGAAAAAGACAAAGAGCTCATTTTGTGCATATCCAAACTGATGCCTGAGGTTTCAGCCCAGACCTGGAATTCATTGTCAGCATTTGGCACGTATCCACAGCCAGCGGAACCACTATTAGCAGGCCTGTTTTCTTTACTCAGAACATAATTTGGTACTGTCAAGTCAATCTGGCTACAATTGAATGGAATTTTTTGTTCTTGAAAGGTTTTTTATTTTTTTCACATTTCATTTATATACTGTCTCTAGTGAGGTCAAATCCCCCTGTAAATATTATCTAATTTATTCTCATAGCATCTCTAAGAGATAGGGCACATTTGTCTTTATTATTAGCATCTGGTGTTACGAGACTCACATTTACTTTGTCGAGAATCACCGGGAATAAATCTCATGTAGACACTAATGGAAAATATAATAGGAGATAAATACAGGTATGTCTGCAAATGAAGATATTTTCCCACGTTTGAAATCTGTTGACTGAAAAGATAAAAAGTGGAACAACTTATGATGATTGAATAGTAATAAAAAGCAGCATTTAATCTACATCTCTCCTTCCCATGATTACAGCATGCTAAATATTACTCAATACGACAGAGTCTGCTGATGAGCTTTGTAAATGTTTTTCCAATAAAATTAAGTAGATTAGGTTTGAAAAGAGAATGTTAATGTTCCCAAGGCTTTTAAGGAGTGTTCTTTAAAAACTTTCCTGAAAAGTACGATTTAAGACTACGTCATAGTGTCCTCTATCCTCGCAGAGGGAACCCCGTGATTTCCAGGTAGATGGAACGGGCAGAAGTTCTTGTCATCTGTGATCCCTTATTGTTAATTCTCTTCGTGTATTTTGCCTGCTGCTTTGTTTTGGTTGTCAAAGTTTGTTACTGAGACAAGACTAAGATCGTCCTACTTGACAGTCACAGATTGAGTTGGCGTGACGCACCATGAGCTGAGTCTAATTGCTGTTAATATTGGAAGGATGAATAATCCTATTAAAAAGAAGAACAGTTATAAAAAATAAATAAGCAGAGGCAAATCTAGATTACATGAAAGAAGGACAGCTTGATGAGGGGAAACCCATTAACCTGAAAAAAAAACTTCTTTGCTTCCAGTTTAGCAGTTACGAGCAAGACCGCATTTATACTCAATCAGAATGGAAACAATTTTTCTGATTTATTTATAGACTTAAATCTTAGGTTTTCTTATATGTGGAAAAAGGGATCCTACTGTGATTCCTAATTGGTAATAGAATATCAAAATGCCTTGTTAGGTAGGCTTATAGGAAAACCTTTGTCTCTTATTCCTTAGGTATTATTAATGAGTCAAAAAAGTTAACTCTGTATTAGGGGGAGGGAGCAATACTCTAAAACAGCGCTTCTCAAACTCATATATGTATATACATTCCCCAGGGAGCTCAATAAATTGCAGATTTTGGTTCAGGAGCTCTGGGGTGGGACCAGAGACGCTGCATTGCCGAAGCCCCCAGGAGATGCCCATGCTGCTGATTCGAGACCACTCTCGGAGAAGGCAGGCTCCAGACAACTCTTTTAAAAAGAAATCTACGCAAATACAGTATAACTTGCTTTGTCATCATTTCAGGAAATTGAATGGCATTGGGATAACAAAACCCAAACTACTTGCTTTGCAAATGGAAAGGGAGAGAATGAGCCGATTTAAAGCTTCAAGGACTCTTTTTAAGGACAACTTGAATTACTGGTAAGGTTGAAGCTGTAATGGAACAGTCTGGAGAGGCAGAAAGTCTCCTGGTTCCTATTGGAGCTTCATTCACAACCTCCTTCAATCCCCCCCTTCATTGTGGTCATAGTTATTAGATGGCTATGGGAAACATGGAAACATTCTTTCCTTTCAATAGACTTTGCTCCTTGAATTCATGATTCCTTAATAAGAGAGAGCATTATGCTTCTCATCCTTCATCTTCCCACAAACCAAGTTATTAAAAGAGAGCTCTGAACCCTGCGAGAATCTGACCACGTGTACGTTTCACCCATTCAGTCTGTGCCCAGGACATGCCGTCTATTGGTGGTTACATACTGGTACAATCCTCGGACACCCCCCAGCATGAAGTCTGGTGTTGTGGGCTCTTGAATGCATTAATCTTCATCAAACCTCAGATAGCTGAATAAGAGGGAGAACATCGAATTACTTTGAATAATTGAGTGCATTTGAGTCAGGAGAGTTTTAAATGGAGCAAAAGGGTTTCAGAAACTTGACTGCATGTTAAATATTCTGAATTTTGGGTGATCACAAACTATCACTTATCAAGTGAGTATATATGGACAGGATAAACCTGAAAAGCAGATGGTAGGAAAGTGAATTATAGCTAAATGGATGGTATACGCACGTCTTAGTGAGCTCAGGCTGCTATCACAAAGTACCTTAGACTGGGTGGCTTACACAATGAACATTTAATTCTCAGTTCTGGAGGCTGGGAAGTCCAGGATCACGCTGCTGGTTGATTTGGTTCCTGGTGAGAGCCTTCTCCCTAGTTTGCGGGTGGCCACCTTCTCTTTGGGTCCACAAATGGCTGAGCGAAAATGCTCTCTCCTTCCTCTTCTTATAAAGCTGCTAATCCCATCATGAGGGCCCCACCTCATGACCTCGTCTAATCCTAATTACCTCCCAAAGGCCCCATCTCCAAATACCATCAAATTGGAATAGAGCTTCAACATATGAATTTGGGGGGATGCATAGAGGTGCATTAAAGGCCAATGAAGATATCAGTGACTTTGTAATTATAGTGCAAGCACAAAGGTGAAGACTTTTTTCTTGCTTTTCAACTTACAATTCTATATATTTTTTATATTTGTTGGCTCTAAACCCACAAATCTATATGTATATCACACTGATATCAAGTCTGGAAATAAGGTCCCTGATGATAGTTTCATCACGTTATTGAAGGCTATTTATTCTAAAATTAATTTATTCTCCTACTCACGATAAAACCTTTTAAAAAATTAATTGTGATGAATTTACTGACTACTAACTCACATAATCCTACTCTATGAAGACAAGTCTTCTAGCATGTTCGAAAAAAGATCTACACCTTCTAGTACACATAAATTAGAAGTTGAACATGGTGGACATGTATGATATGGAAGACGCCCTTCCTACAACAAGCTTATGGAGGTGATAGAGAAGATGAAACAACAAATGCAACCAAAGCAATAAGTACAAGGTGATGCTGCAGGGACCTGTGGGGGTTTTGGTCCTGGATAAAGGCCCTTGGGGATGAGGGCAGGCAGGGGAGGAGGCAGAGCCGGGGACAGATGGTGAGGCCTTAGACTCGCTGGGCAGGGAAGCTGAAGCCAGTCGCCTGCAGCAAGCCTAGAGCCTGAGAAGGAGATCCAGCAAAACTCCCACCATTGTCCTGTGGAAGGAAAAAGGAAGTTGGCTGTTATTGAGCCCCAGACTGACCACAGGCCAGAGAAGGGACATCATCTGAGAGAAACTGACACCAGCTGGGGCCACATACTGAGAGGTCTGAAAGTATAGTATTTGCTTAGATTGCTAACCTGAAGTCCTTTTTCTTGGAATGGACTCTCTAAGCCAATAAATTAACTTAAAAATACCTCCAGAGCCTTGAAACCTCTAGGAATTTGATAGAAGCAGATGAAAAAGCATTCTGGGAGGTCACTTTCACAACCTAGGGGTCAGAAGCTGTGTTACTGTGCAAGGGCTGCCATAACAAAATGCCCCAGATTGGGTGGTTTAAGCAATGGAGTTTATTTTCTCCCAGTCCTGGAGGCTGGAAGTCCAAGTTCAACATGTCGGCAGGTTTTGTTCTTCCTGAGGCCTCTGTCCTTGGCTTGTAGATGGCTGCCTTCTTGCTGTGTCCTCACATGGCCTTTATTCTGTGTGCAGGCATCCTTGGTGTCTCCTTCATTTATCATAAGGACACTAGTCCTATTGGATTAGAGCCCCACCCTTATGACCTTGTTTAACATTCATTAGCTTTTTAAAGGGCCTATGTCCAAATACACCCACATTGGGGTGTATAGAGCTTCAATATATGAATTTGGGGTAGAGTAGGGGGAATGACACAATTCAGTCCACAACAGAAACGTCTCTTTGAAAAGCAACTGAACCCACTGAAGATGAATTCAAAACAGCAAAATGTTATAAAATACACAAGGAATGCTACCATAAAAAAGAGTCATAGGAGGCAAAAACCAAGAGAATTAGCACCAAAACAAGTACAGATAATGAAATGGAATCAAAGAGACTGTAAAATAAATAAAACGAGTGAAGAGATTTAAAAAAAGAATTGAAAACCATGAAACCATAAGCCATCAAGGAAATAAAGGATAGGCAAATTTGAAAAGAAACAAATAGAATGTCTAGAAATGGAAATTATAGTCATTAAAATCTCACTGGATAGGTGAAATAGCATGTTAGACACACCCAAAGAGAAAATTAATGAACTGGAAGATATTTATGAGGAAATCACCTAGAACAAAGTACAGACAGACAGAGCTGGGAGAGATGAGTGGTTCAAAGATGTGGAAGATAGAATAAGGTCCAATATACATTTAATATGTGTCAGGGAGACACAGAGTGAGAGTAGAAAATGGGAGAGAAGCAATACTCAGAAAGAAAATCAATGAGAATTTTTCTATAATAGAATACAAGAATCTAAAAACTGAAGAACGTTGATTCCCACACAGGAAAAACAAAAGCAAGTATATACCTAGTTTGAGAAAAATGCAGCAATTCCAATGTTTCCTACAAAAGAAATCTAGACAGAAAGAAAAATAGATAACAAAAAATTGGCTACATATAGAACATATTCTCTGATCATGATGTAGTAAAATTAGAAAATAAAAGCAAAATAATAGCTGCTGGGAAAATGAAAATGATCTTAGTATCAATATAGAGAGCTGAAAAATGCAAACTATATTAAAACATGAATTGAATCTTTTTAACTGTTTCATCACCTCAATATATATAAGAAAGTGAATTTTTAAGTTATTTGTTATGTATAGTTGTACCTGATTATTCATAATTCTGGTTTCATAAGCAAATATTTTTCCTTTGCCTCAAGGCTGTTCCTGAGAGTATTTTGTAGTTTCCGTCTGATCTTGATACTAGAGGATTACATTTCGTTGCCTCTTTACAAAATGCTTTCACATACATCCTATCATCATCTTTCTCCCTCTTGGTGATATAAATCAGAGATGCATTTGTGACATCCTTAACTAGCATGCAAATGACCGATACGTCAATGAACAAATACTACCAGAGTCAGATATTTCTTGCCGAGTGATTTTACTCTCTTTCACACCATATCGAGATGTTATTCAAGTTTGAACAGGGAGTACAGCCTTACAGTGGGAAATTACTGACATTGAGGATTGAAGAGCTTGTAGACAGTGTTCTCCCACTAATATTAAATATTAGATACATGTTATAATAAATTTATTGTTTAATTGACTTAAGAAAAGAGCAGTCTGAATAGCCTGAAAATGTTTGATAATGGAGCAGAGACAGTGTAGATAGAAAAACTTAGTTTTCCTTTAAAATCTCACTATGAAAAGTAGACTTCTAAGAATTTATAATATTTTTTGCAAAAAAATTTTCTTGATTGACTTTTAAAAAATGATGATTTTGACTTTAGTTTCCCTGAAGCCCAAAAATTCTATTGAGGATTATGTTCATATAATTTCTTTGATAAATCACCCATAGAAGTATGTTTTGTGAGGATTTCATCTCTAAGCGTGTTTGTAGTCAATTCTGATTGCTATTCCAGATGAGCAGGCTGCTATGTCTTGAGAAACGTTGCCTAGACCAGTAGCAACCCCAGGCACAATCAAATGGCAAAGCATTTGACAAAAGCTCTCCCGGTTTTTTGTTTTTGGGGGTTTTTTTGGTATATGTTAATGACATATACGTTGGGGTAGACAGTTACTCTCTGCTGTCCTTTTCCTCTTTGTTGTGTTGATGTTTCTGCCTAGAGCCAATCTTGGCATAAACTCCTTCTATTCACTGGCTTCCACAAGAAATCTAATCAGTCCAATATCCTCAAAGATTTACTAAAGGATTGTGGGAGCATCATGAGGTGTTGCATCCCACACGGTGCAAACTTGCACCCCATTGAACATCCTTCACTCCATCCCCCAGCCCCCACCCCTGGTGTCCAGCCATCAGGAGTCACCTATGTGGATACACTCTCCAGCACGACCTCAACTGGAGACTCGCTCCATACTCCTTCGCCCAGGATTTTCTCCAAGGTAAACTTGCTTGCCACCTGTCCCCCACCGCTGCCTATTAAGCATAATAATTCAGTCATCAAACTCAAGTTCTCTAGTTTATCCCAGAACCCAGTAAACTGACGGCCCTCCAGTTACAAGAATTGATCTTCAGAGAGCAATGAGGGTTACAACCAACAAGAATTCTGTTATATATAAAAGTAGATTCTTTATGAAAGTAGCAGTATTGACTTTTTTTCCCAAAAAACCATCTTTGGATGGTTTAACTTGTGAATAAGTTAAAATGTAGTAGGGAGTAATTTTTAAAGAAATGCAGTCATCTAACAACAGATTGGTTATATTGCCACAATTATTATTAACATACTTTAACTAAAATTTGAATTTATTTTGGGGTAGACAGAAACTTCTGGATTAAAACCCCTTGGACTTGGCCCTTCTGAGCAGTTTCAGAGATCAGTGGATACGTAAGGCCAGATAGCCCTTGACTCAGATTTTAAATGTTTTTCATTCAGTTCGTATCCACATTAATCTCAATAGGTGCTCAGTAAATATTGACTTAATGAATGGAAGGATAATCTGTGGGCCAAAAGTCTGTCTATCTTCTAAGATGTCTTCTCATTTTTCCTTTACTTCATCAAAAACAAAGTACATTGATCTCCCTTGCTCAAACAAAACAAAAAAAGGAAAAATAAATATTAATAAAATAGCATAATACTTTATAATAAATACACTTTAAAATATTAAATAAAATAATGTTTTAAATACCCTTACTTCATTCGGATTTAAAAATAAACTCGGAGCCAGCCCCATGGCCGAGTGGTTAAGTTCGCACGCTCTGCTTTGGCGGCCCAGGGTTTCGCCAGTTCGAATCCTGGGCGCAGACATGGCACCGCTCATCAAGCCACGCTGAGGTGGCATCCCACATGCCACAACTAGAAGGACCCACAACTGAAAAATACACAACTATGTACTGGGGGGCTTTGGGGAGAAAAAGAAAAAATAAAATCTTTAAAAAATTAAAATAAAATAAAATAAAAATGTTAACCTACCAACTTATTTTCTCTACCACTCTTTAATTATGTCAGATTTTAATTTAGGCACTTCATTATTATGCCTGCAATTTTATAGACTTTTTTAGTCTGAGGAATAATTTATTTCTTAAAGTGAGTCAATTAATTTGAAAAAATAAACCATTGAGCATCTAAAACAATTTGGAAGCTGACACAATGGTTGGGAACATAGTTACGTCCACATAAAACCCTAGAATCGTAAGTTCATAGAATTTTAGGGGTTAGATCATAGAAGTAGATGATTCTCAGAGATTTAGAAAAATTAAAGAGTTTCCTGTTTCACAAACCAGCCTTTAGTATTTAGACTGCTTCACCCAGCATCGTTGTCCCCAGTTTTCCAGAGATAAAGAGCAGTAGTTAAGTCAAGTAAGCCTAAAGCATAGCTACTGATAAACTGTGTCCAGTGTCTTGAGTCTTTGACAATGACCTTTCTTTAAAATTGTGTATAGAATCTAACAGTGACTAACTTTTAAGGCAAGCCTTATTCCCCTCAAAAAATAAAATAGTTCAGAGCACATGTGAGGTAATTTGGAAAAGAGAGTATGGATAAAGAGAGGGAGTTTGGAATACATCTTCCAAAGAGAGAATCGCATTAGAAGTGATGAAGAATGGGGCCGGCCTGGTGGCACAGCGGTTAAGTTCACACGTTCTGCTTCGTTGGCCCGGGGTTTGCTGGTCCGGATCCTGGGTGTGGATGTGGCACTGCTTGGCAAGCCATGCTGTGGTAGGCATCCCACATATAAAGTAGAGGAAGATGGGCATGGATGTTAGCTCAGGGCCAGTCTTCCTCAGCAAAAAGAGGAGGATTGGCAACAGATGTTAGCTTAGGGCTAATCTTCCTCAAAAAAAAAAAAAAAAGAAATGATGAAGAAAAAATTTGGCAAAGTAATTAAGGACAAAGTTCCAAGCAAGGCTTGAAATCTTCATGACTGTTCTATGCCTTGTATTTTTAATTTATTTTATTTTAAAGATTTCATGAGACATGAAGATGGTCATTATTCTTTGACTTTTCATTGTTGTTTCCTAATTTTTCCTCCTTTCCGAAACATAAATCTATCTTTGAGGAAATGACTGTGTATTAAAGTTACATCAACCAACTATCTTAAGATGAAATCAAATAGAAGAATGAACTTTCTTTGGAAAATTGATTAAATCTAGTTTCTCTAGTGAGAGATTTAAATAGAAATAATTTTAAATCAAACTCACCCTGGATAAAGGGTCTAGTGGTAAAACTAGGAATATCCTTTTAAAGTAGAACGTTTATTACACATTCTTGGAAAAACATTTTTAATAGTATGACAAGGTGTTAATTTCCTTAATATCCAAAGGTTCTTATGAGTAAAAAGGAAACAAGTCAGTTTAAAAACAATAGATAAACAGTTTGCAGGGGGAAAAACTGATTGCTAAACAGACGCAAAGTTGAAGCTCAGTTATAATTAAAGAAATGAAAACTTCTAAGACTGAGAAGTGAGTTCTCCTCTCTCACTTTGTTAGGGATGAAAATATTTGTGAGGGCCTGGAAATCCGCAGCCTCAGGTGCCACCAGTAGGAGTGTAAATTGATAACAACCTTTTAAAGAGCAATTTGGCAGGATGTATTAGACTTTAACATGGAAATTTTACTTTTAAATTTAAATAACACATCATTTGATCTTCCAGTTGCATTTAGAAATTTATCCTATAGATTTTTACACACCTGAACAGGAATAATTCTTGCCACATTATTTATAAATAGCCAAAAACCAGCTAAGTGTCCATGAATAAGGATGTGGTTCTCTTATATGTTATGGCACATCTGTGCTTGCAGGCAGATGTTTAAAGGAAGGAAATAGAGCTATACATGCTGCTAGAAAGAAGTCCAAGATAAATTGTTTTCTGCAAAAAAAAAAAAAAAGCAAATTGGAGGGGCCGGCCGGTGGCGCAGTGGTTAAGTGTGCGGGTTCCACTTCCATGGCCCGCGGTTCGCCGGTTCGGATCCCAGGTGCAGACATGACACTGCTTGGCAAGCCATGCTGTGGTAGGTGTCCCACATATAAAGCAGAGGAAGATGGGCATGGATGTTAGCTCAGGGCCAGCCTTCTCCAGCAAAAAGAGGAGGATTGGCAGCCGTTAGCTCAGGGCTAATCTTCCTCAAAAAAAAGCAAATTGGAGAACATCTATAATATAATTCTGTTTGTCTAAAATAAATAAATATTTTATGTATATGTTCTGGAAAAAACACTGGGAATTGGAGGAGTGAGAAATATTTTTCCTTTGTACATTATCCTGTCTCATAACATTTTTGTCATTTTCTTTCTTTCTTTTTGGTTTTGTTGTTGTTCTGTTTGTTTATTTCTTTGTTTATTTCTTTATTTTTATAAAAATGCATAGCTAATGATGGAAGTCATTTTTACCAATTTTAAATATGTTGTTTCAATGCCTCTAACTCTCCTGGGAGCTTCAACATATGGACTTTTTCCAGGAACAGGAACAGGATTAGGAATATTATCAGTCCCTATTTCTCTTTCTCCCTCATGGCAGCCCTGGTGGAGAGTTTCATTTTTAATAGTTGACTAAAGAGATAAAGGTGACTCTGAGGACAGACAAAAAAGATGCTTAGGGACATGCGCATACCAGGTCTGAGGGGAAAACGGGCTTTCAAAACAAAAGATAAATGTGCTTTTATTAAAAACCTATACTTACACACTTCTTCCTCTCTTCTCATACTGTCTCATTTACCAGCTGTGAATTACAAGCAAGGGGAAGTGAAGAGGAATTCAACGCACAAAATGAAGCACCTATTTTGCAGCTCTCTTTTGTAGGATAGGTCCAATTCCAAACAGCTCTCCCAATCTGAAATGGCAGCAACAAGAACCAAAAGTAGTTTGCCTCACGTCACATAGATGGCAGTTGTATGTTGAGAAAACAAGTAAAATATTCATGCCACAAGAGAGTGACTTTTGCGGACTGAAAGCAGCATACACTGGGAAATGCTTATTTCAGCGAGAGTTTCTGCTTTGGACTCAATGCCCTGAGAAAAACAACCAGAAGGTAAGAAATAGGTCGTCCTAATAGCTGTTTTATTTATTCCTCTTATTCTCCTATTGGATCAAATTTTCTTGCAAACTCCTTTGTAGGTGAAAGTTTATTTTAGTGGGCACTTCCTTTGTTGAAGCTGCTTTTCAGCAAGGAACAGGGTGGATTAATCTACCGTCTTCCTAATTGCTCTGTGAAGGCTTCATTTCTCCCTAATCTCGCTGTAGCTTCTTAAGAAATGAGGCACTTACATATCCCAAGGGGGTAAATGGAGATTTCTGATGCAGAGGGTAAAGTAGAGAGTTTGCTGCATTAATCATTGAATAACATCAATCACACATCCACTTGGGCAGTTAAATTTCTGTTGAACAAAGTACAGAAATACCTGGGGAATGTCTCCCTCTTTGTAAGTGGTGTCATTAGACATCTGTCGTGAAGGCCTTGTAAAAACAGATTTGGGGATTCAAACAAAGTCATTTTAATGCTACCACAATGCTAGGCACCTAATGAGTAATATCCTATACAAATTATTGAGAAAATAAGTTCAATTTCAAAATAAATTATTGCACCAATTCCCAAAGCAGACTATTAATTACCTTCTTGCTCCAAACTCGTGTGCCCGTTGCAGCAAGAATTATCTTCCTTAAGCACCATTTTGATTTTTCAGATCCATTTTCAGAAACTAATAGGTCCAAATTTTTGCTCACATAAAGTCCATATTGCTGTTGCATGTTGAAAGGTTTTCTAACAATTGGTCCCCTTCTCCCTAATTTCCCTTTTAAAAAATTATCGTAACATTCGTATGATGTTTGCTAGCCTAGGACACATGTGAACCTGCCTCATAATTTGTTTTCTCCAGTCCACATTCTACTTCTGCCATCTCCAATGCCTTTCACCCTCTCCTTTACCATTCCAGATCCACCCCATTCTGCTCTTATTGTCGTTTGCCATTCCAGCCAGCTTTGCAGAATATAAGTACAGAGCAGTGTATTTATAATAATAAAGTTACAAGGAGTTCTATTTCAGTTTTATATGACTTCATGTCAACTCAATGCAGTCTTAATTATCTTTAGTGGAATAAGCGTACACTGGAGGCAAAGGGTGATTTTATGGCTTTCTCATCCTCACAAAATGATTAACATGTACAAGCATCTCATCCATACACACAGGAAGTAGTGTATGAAGATACACTAGGAAGATATGAAGGAAGAAAGGCACAGTTCTTCTCTTTAAGGATGCTTCCCGGAAGTTGAACAGATGCTTTGGTTTGGTCACATGGCCGCACCTAATTGCAAAGGACATTGGGAAATAAGCCTTTATTCCAAACAGCACCTGCCCGCTAAAAGCTAGGAGTCTTGTTACTAAGGAAGAAGGGAGGCAGAGATATTAGGGGACAGCCCGCAGTCTCTGCCACATAACCAAATGTTGACTCATAAATGGTTCAACAACAAATATATTATGGTACATTCAGATGAATACTGTATAATTGTTAAAATGGTGATATGGATCTTTAGTTATTAACATGGAGATACACAATCTGTTATTAAGTGACAAAAGCAGTTCATGAAATTGTTTTCTTAGTATGATCCTATCATCTCTTATTTATCTATCTAGTTGCCCTTTCATATATTTTATTTATCATCTGCCTACCTATCCATCTATCTATCTTACCTTTATCTATCTAGTTGCCCTTTCATATATTTTATTTATCATCTGCCTACCTATCCATCTATCTGTCTTACCTATCTATCTTGAAGTGTTTTTTTAGTTTCTAGAATGATAGAATTGCTGAGTTACTTTGTTTGTTTTTGAAGTTTCTGACTATATTGCCTTGTGATATGACATGTGCTCTGTATGAAATGAATACTCTGGTATTTGTTGTGACTGGATTGTGGTTACTCTGGTAATTATCTGTTTTCTCTAATTATTGGGGTCAGGATTCTGTATATGCCCATTAGAACAAGCTTATTAATTGTGTTGTTCAAGACAGTGTATACTTCCTAATTATTTGTAGGCTTTCTATATCAGTTCCTGAGAGATGTGTGTTTAAAACATCCATCATGGGGGCCAGCCCGGTGGTGTAGTGGTTAAGTTCATACACTCCACCTCCGCAGCCTGGGGTTTTCAGGTTCGGATCCTGGGTGCAGACATGGCACCACTTGTCAGGCCACACTGTGGCAGCATCCCACATAAAAGGGAGGAAGACTGGCAACAGATGTTAGCTCAGGGCCAATCTTCCTCACCAAAACATCTATATGTATATATATGCATCCTGATTGCAGGATTTAACAGTTCTTTTAGTAGATATATCATTATTTGTTTTTATATGTTTTGAGGCTATGTTTTTGGGTGCGTGCAAGTTCAGGCTTATTATATTTTCCTGGTAATTGTTCTTTTTATCATTAAATAATGGCTCTTTTTATACCTAATATTGCCTTAAATTCTATTTCAGCTAATTAATATTGCTTTTATACCTTTATTTGTTTAGTATTTACCTGGAATATTTTTTCCATAGTTTTACTTCACATTTTGGGGGTCATTGTCTTTTATGCTTACAAAGGGCATACAGATGGAATTTGTATAATCTCTGTTTTTTAACAGGTGTGTTTAATGTTTACATTTATTAGACTTACTATAGTTTGATTTATTTCTGCCATTTTATTTTTGTTTTTTTGTTTGTTTGTTTTTTAAAGATTGACCCTGAGCTAACATCTGTTGCCAATCTTCTTTTTTTCTTCTTCTCCCCAAAGCTCCCCAGTACATAGTTGTATACTTTTAGTTGTGGGTCCTTCCAGTTGTGGCACGTGGGATGCCACCTCAGCATAGCTCGATGAGCAGTGCCATGTCCACGCCCTGGATCCGAACCGGTGAAACCCTGGGCCGCAGAAGTGGAGCGTGCGAACTCAACCACTTGGCCACAGGGCCGGCTCCTGTACCATCTTATTTTATATTTTATATTTACCATATTTTTTCTTACTTTTTGGGGTTTTTTCTGCTTTGTATTGGGTTGACTGAGTTTCTTCCCTTTTTCCTCCTTCAGTGTTTTGGAAGATATATATTCCATTTCTTTTAGAAGTTACCCTTCAATTTTGAATATGTCACACTTGACTTAAGAAAGACTAAAGTCAGTCAATAGCTCTGTTCTCTCTTCTCACATTATCATTGTCTAGTTTATTAGTTTCACCTGTTTTTTTAAAATCTCCCTAAATTAGCCTTTATTTTTAAGGTCGTAGAGTATCCCATACAGAGTACTTCTCTTCGTCTCTGGAATTCGGAACCAATACAGAGAAAGAAGGAGAGTGGGGAGAGACAGAAATAAGAGATTGAAAACCCACTTATAATACTAGCTTTATTTTAGATAAAGCTGATGGGAGAAAGGGATTTTAGATCTGTGGCCAGATGGCCTTGCTCATACTTTATTCCTGAATTAGATGGATTTAGCCCCCAGTGGCAGAGTGAGACAACAGCAAGTCTCCTTAATAAGGCTGGTTGCTCACCGTGGACACAGGCAGGCCATCCTCCTGCCTTTAGGAGGAATGGTTAAGGGAGCAGAGAGGAGTTGAGGGTTCTGATAATATCACTTGTGGAGATTGGAGTAGAACTTCTCTCCTTTTCTGTGGACATCTGAGTGGGAAGTGATTGTTCCTCCAACAATTATTACTATCATTGCTGTTCTTGTTAATGTTGTTTTCTATCGTCCCTGCTTAAGGCTGATTGACCGTGAAGCTAATGTCTCAGCTTCAGGACCCTTAACCTGATGGACCCTCCCATGGTTCTGACACCAGGAGGAAGCAGTAACTCCACAAGAGTTGGAAGATTGGAGTCCTCCTAGCATGGAGGTCGTTCTTCCCACCCTGGTGGTAGTCTTGGAGGTGCAGGAGCTGGGGGTTGGGCATGCTTGGGCACCAGTTCCCAGTGACAACCTGCACTCCATGGCACCCATCAAACATCAGCATCGTCCCCAAGGAGAAGAATCTGACTGAGACACTGTCCCACTCCCAGCTCAGCAAGGGCCACGTGACTTGGCTTCATGGTCACCTTGGCACACCCCTCTGCTGAGAAGTGCCCTGGCAAGGCAGGGGTGGGAGCGGTACTGGGTATGGTGAAAACCAGCTGACCTTGATCAGCTTGCTGTGAAATCAACAGGCTGGGGTTAGCTGAAGACTCTCCCCACTACCAATAACACATGTGAAACCAAAATCAACTTTTCTAACTATGAATGATCAAATTTTGACCAACTGTGTTAGAAGACTGATTTATCTCTCTACTCTTTATACAGGATGATATTTAAAAGTCGTTATCACACTAAGAGGTGAGCGAAGAATACGCAGCCAAAAAAATGTAGGGAATACAATGTATTATAGAGGAGATGAATCCATTATAGTAAAAATGATTAAAGATTGTATCACATTCCTGAATTTTGTGAGGTTCTGTAGCATTTAGCTACAATTTAAATTTTTATTTGTTGTGATTTCTATTTTCATCCTAAAGAAAGGTAAACTTTTGTACCTAATTTTCTATTAACACTTTGTTATTCTTCAAAAGGGGTTCCCCAAATTATGAAAGATTTAGGTCTCACAAAACGTGGATCCACCCTTGTTTTTTCAGTTTTATAAAAATGTTTGCGGATTTCTTTGCTTAGCCTTGCTCCTTGTTTCTCGCATCTTTTTCCGGGTAGTGTTTCTCCTTAACCACGCACATCCTTTCGTGGTTCTTGCAGGGAAGCTCTGCTAATGGTACACTCGGATAGGGCCATTATCTAGCCCTCACCCTTGAATGAAACCTGGCTGGGGGGAGAATTCTATTCAGGATTGTTTTCCCCCTTTCAGCACTTAGAGTTGCTGTTTCACTTCTGGAGTTTGTCCTTGTTGCAGGAAAATGTACTTTTTCCTTTAAGGACAATCTGTCTTTTCTCCCTGTTTCTTTTCTGTCTGTCTTTTGTGCTCTGCGGTTTCATTCTCACTTGGCTAGCTTTGAATTTGTTTTTATTTAACCTGCGAGGCCTGAGGTGTACTACAATCTGAGGACTGATGTCTTTTCTCGATCCTGGGAGAGTGTCATTCTTTGGTTTTCTATCTTTTAAATTGTTTTTAATAAATACTAAGACGATACAAAACAATATCTTAAAAATATATGTAAGGCATAAAGAATAATGGGGAAAAACCAAAACAGAATAACGTTACAACACTTATGTACTCACCATTGAATATAGGGAGAGAACAAAGAGGAAAAGGACAAAGAGAGCAACATTGTACTTTTGGACTCCCCCGTGCACCGACGCTACGACCCCACCTATTCCTCTCCCTTCAGAGGTTACCATTATCCTAAACTTAATATTTATCATTTCTTTGTAGTTTCACAAGGAAAATATATTGTTAGACATATTTTTAAACTTTATATCAGTGGACTAATGCTGTTCTTCAATTTATTTTCTCCACTCAAAATTACCTTCCTGAAATGATGTCATTGAGTGTAGCTATAATTTATTCCTGCTCATTCCTGTGTAGCATTCCATCACTCACATTTTATCCATTCTACTGTCAGTGGACATCGGCTTGTCTCTAGTTTTTTACTATTAGGCGTAGTGCTGCTTTAAGCATTTTCATAAATGCCTCCTGGAACAGGATAGTTACTCTAGAGTTTATACCTGGGAGTGGGATTGCTAGGTCACAGAGTATGGGCATCTTCATAAAGCACAATTGGTTTCCAAAGTGATTGTACTAATTTACCCTCCCATCCTTGCTCCACATCCCTGCCAATGTGTAATAGTTCAGACTTTAATATTTGCCAATTTTGTGGGTATGTATTGGTACTTCTCAGTAGAATTAATTTGTCTTTTTCTCATTGGTAATATATGTTTATTGGCCATTTATGTTTTCTTTTCCATAAAATGCTTAAGTCTTCTGACTCCCTTTTTTATAAATTGGTTTTTATTACCTTTTTCTTATTGATTTGTAAAATTTTTTTACATATTCAAGATACTAATCCCTTGACTATTACATATTTAGCAAATATCTCCTCCCAGTCTATGGCTGGTCATTTCATTCTCATTATGGTGTCTTTTGACAAATGGATATTGTCGTTTTAATGTAGCTAAATTTGTCAAGTTTTCCTCTGTGGTTTTCCATTTTTATGTCTTGTTTGAGAAAATGTTCATGTTTCTGGGATTATAATAGTATTCTCCTATATTAACTTCCAAAACTTTTATAGTTTTGCATTTCACATATAGCTCATTAATTCACCTAGAGTTGATTTTTGTATTTGATGTGATGAAGGGGTGTAAGTTCTTATTATCTTATGTATCTTATCTGTGTTTTTATGTTATCTCCCATGTCGCATTATAAAAAGATATATTGTGGGATGCAGGAAAATGGTATTCTGAGGGAAATTATAGCCTTAATACTTAAAGTCTGAAAATTAAGTAGCTACGTTTCCAAATTTGAAAGTTAATAATAACAGAAAAACGACAAAGGAAATAGAAAAACACTATAAAGATAACAGTAAAAACTAATTAAATAACCATCATATAAACAATAGATCAATATTAAATAATAGGGTCAAGGAAGGCAAAATACTATTCTTTGAAAAGTAGCAAAATAGATAAACTCTGGTGAGACTACTCAAGAAAAAGAGAAAAGGCACAAATCAATATTAAATTGATAAAAGTGTCATAAGTTCAGATGCAACAGAGATTAAAAAGATAAATGCTTTCAGTTAACTTTACGCTAATAAAATCGAAAATTTAGAAGAAAACATGCAAATTTCCGGAAAAATGTATATTGATTTTCATTTATCTTGCTAAACTCTCTTACTAATTCTAATAATTTCTCTGTGGATAATTTTAAGTTTTCTACATAAAACAACCATATAAAATGTGAATTGTAATGGTATTTTTCTCCCTCTGTTGTCTCTTTGAATATCTACAACCTTCTTTCTGGAATGCCTATTAGAAATACATTGGAACTTCTCATTCTGTTTTCCGTGTCTCATAACTTCTCTTTCAAATTTCCATCTTGTTATCTCTCTGCTGCATTATGGGTGATTTATTCAGATCTGCTTTTCAGTTGACTATTTTGCATGATGATTTAACTATTCATTGAGTTTTTAATTTGAATGAATTAATCTTTTATTTCCAGGAGTCCAGTTTGGTCCTATTTCAAATCTACTTATTCTCTGCTCATATTTTCCTTTTGTTCTATTATTATTTCAATTCCTTCTTTTATCTCTTTAATCATTTTAAATATTAATGTTTTTTTCTCTGCTTTTTTTTTTCTCCCTAAATCCCCCAAGTACATAGTTGTATATTTTAGTTGTGGGTCCTTCTAGTTGTGGCATGTGGGATGCTGCCTCAACGTGCGTGGGCTGATAAGTGGTGCCATGTCCGTGCCCAGGATCCGAACCGGCAAAACCCTGGGCCGCTGAAGTGGAGTGCGCAAACATAACTACTCCGCCACGGGGCCGCTCCCTAAATATAGTAATGTTTATGGGGGCTGGCCCCGTGGCGGAATGGTCAAGTTCTCATGCTCTGCTTTGGTGGCCCAGGGTTTCGCCGGTTCACATCCTGGGCGCAGACGTGGCACCGCTCATCAACCCATGCTGAGGCTGCATCCCACATGCCACAACTAGAAGGACCCACAACTAAAAATATACAACTATGCACTGGGGGGCTTTGGGGAGAAAAAGGAAAAAATAAACTCTTAAATATAGTAATGTTTACAGCTGCTTTCAGAGTGTTCAATTATCTATAGTTCTTTGGGTACTAATTCTATTGATTAGTGCGTCCTGTGATTCATCCTCATTTCCTCGTATGGCTTGTAATTTTTTATTGTGAGCTCATCTTAAGCAGTGATGGTCTTTTCTGTGGGAGTCCCGTGTACCCTAGATTGTGGATTTGCCACTATAGTGTGGATTTACATTTGGTTCTGCAAGGGTCCCAGAGTTTTCATGGGACTTGACAAAATTTCTCTTTTCTTGCCCAGTTATTTATATTAGCTGAGAATTCTCATACTATAAGGCTTGTGGTTTTAATATCTCAGAAGAGATGCTTCTTTTTCCTTCATACTCAAAGCCTTGAATACTGCAAGACTCTTTGCTCTGTTTCCATGCTGGAGTTATTTTTTTGTGCCATTTTTATGGACTAAGCAACTTTGCAAGAGCTGATCCTTAATTCAGCCTCTTCATTCCAGCTATTCATCTTGAGTAGACCCAAGACTATGTCTTCTGTCTCCATGTGCAGTTTATACCCCAACCCACATTCTCTAGGTGCTGGTTTTATCAGCCTGACCTCAGAGCTCTAGCCGTCAGTGGATTTCCCTTTCCTCCTTCTTGGCTCAATTATCTACTTTTAAAAACACAATTTATTTGTGTATTAGTAATTTATTTTATTTTATTACATTTTATCCAGAATATCTACGTGTTTATTGCAGGAGGGTATCTGCGTCAGTCCCCCATGTTGCTGGAACCAGAGGTTGTAGGAAAACCTCTTGATTTACCCTAATTTAGATCTGCATTTAAATAAGTATTCTCCATTGAGTGGGATTACAGGTGAGTTTAATTTTCTATTAATGCCTTACTTTTATTGTTTGGACTTTATACAATACTTTTAGTATATGTAATATACAGACTTTCTGAATATGTAATACTTTTCTTACTTGGAAATATTACAAAATGATTTCAATTTTGAACAGAAATTTTAATGAAAACTAGATTAAGGTATCAGATTACCATATAGTTCAGAAATTATTTTACTCTCACCTATCTATGTTAAGCAGGGGGAGAAGTAACACGATGTTCCAGAATTATTTTATGTTTGGCTTTAGAACACATTACAATGAAATGTCACTAATTCAGACTAAACTAGGACAATGAACCTAAGTTAGTCTAAAGCCTCAATATTTTTAAAGCTTTTTTCTTTCTTCAAGTAAATGCAATAAATGGAACAACAAATGGTGGAAATTCAGAAAACTTCTATGTTCTATAATAAGCAAATATTTATAAATACAAATAAACAAATATAGATGCTTCTAAATAGAAAAATCTTTCCCACCTCCCATCTCTACTCCTCATCCTTGCGTTTATTTTTTACTATTAGATTCAAATATCCTTGAGATTGTTGGACTGATAGCTTTTTGAAAGTCTATGGTTTCAGTCTTCCAATATTTGTGTATATTTGTTTCTGAGTATATCTGGGGGTGTGGGACATGTCTTTGGGTGTGAGAGTGTGTACGTGGGTTTGAGGGAGACTGTTGGGGTTTGGGGGGCATCTGTGCCTAAAGATTTGTAAATTCTCCATTACTTTTTCAATGAATACTTTTACTTGTAGCCCTGTCCCTTTTCAAACGATCATTAATTCTAAATTATCAAGGCTCAAATAATGTTTTTCTTTTTCTTATTTTTTTTAAGATTTTATTTTTTCCTTTTTCTCCCCAAAGCCCCCCATTACATAGTTGTATATTCTTCGTTGTGGATCCTTCTAGTTGTGGCATGTGGGACGCTGCCTCAGCGTGGTTTGATGGGCAGTGCCATGTCCGTACCCGGGATTCGAACCAACGAAACACTGGGCCGCCTGCAGCAGAGCGCGCGAACTTAACCACTCGGCCATGGGGCCAGCCCAAATAATGCTTTTCTGTAAGTGATTTGCCAAGATGTATGCACTGAATTTTTTTTAATTCAAGAGTTTTAAAAAACTTAACTCTAAAGAGGGAGGAAAATAGAAAATATTCTCCACAAATGCCACATCAAACACCACCCAGTATATTATCTGGACATCTCCCTCATGGCCCATGCTTCCTTCAGAAAGCCTTTACAATACATTTTATAAAAACAAATTTTGTATAGAACAAAAGATTGCCAGAATAACAAAATGTGTAGGACAGTTTCTCACAACGGATTTTCAATAGCATACATACATCTCTTTCCTAGATGTTATAGCTTTGCTAAGACCTTAGAAGAAATTTTTTAGTTTTTCTGGTAGAAGGGAAGAAAAAAGAAAGGAGGAAGAAAATAAGAAATGGGGAAAGGAAGAAAGGACAGAAATGAGGCCTAATAAATATAAATATTATATATTATATATTAATATATGTAAGTATATATAATTATACCAAATGTATTTCTTTATAAATCTAGCATTTCCCATTCCAAATTATTGATGGTTCCAAGCCAGGAGAAGTAAGGAAATGGTTTCTATGTTGTGGTTTGGGTGTGCACAAAAGAGCTAACTATAGTAGACCAGAACAGCCTGGCAGTGTCTGACCCTGGATTTGACCCATCTGTTGAGTTGGTCAGAAACTACAGAACCCAAATTCCACCTGGGAAATCGGGAGAGGAGCAGGAGTTCAGGCTTCACCTAGGATCTGGGGAGCATGGCCCCTGGCCATAAGACTACCCTGAAATGTGGACGAGCTGGAGACTCCTCCAGTTTAGAGTCAGACGTACCTGTGTTCCGCCCCACAGTCTCCAGTTATTGGCGGCATGAGTTTTAGTCGGTTACGGTTCTTCACACTCTTTTAGGATCCTTATCCATATTCCTACCTTGTAAGACCTTCATGAAGATCAGATGAGATGATGCATGTAGAGCTCTTTGCACCTTGCCCTGTCACACAGCAAGTACTCATTTACTGTTGGCTGTCACTGTTTTTACAGTTTCTCTGGTACTTTTGGTAAGAGGTAGGCGTCAGGGGGTGTTCAGGAAGGAGGAACCCGAAATTTGTGACCCAGGCAGGCACACAGCATCAAATACCATTGTCAGTGGGTACAAGGCCACGTTGCTGAGTTGAGAGACCAGACTCCAGTACCAAGGGAGGGTGGAAGGACAAAACTGCCATAGTGGTAGGGGCAAACAGAGCCCCCCCACTCAGAAGGCTAGCATAACAGGAAGGATTCAATGGCTGAGACCCAATCCCTGGAAACAAGACAGGGATGTGGTTAGCAAAACTGGCGGCCAAAATGAAGACCGGTCTCAGCTACAAGGCACGGCAGAGACCTGGAGGACCAGCGGCAAAGGGGAACGGGCATCCAGTCTAAAGTGTCCGGCCATAGCTTTCAAAATCTACCAAAACCCACCCCACTCCAATTAGCTGATGACCGGTCCTTGAACCAGAGGGAGCTACACTTGCTGGAGGAGATGAATGGAATTTTTTCAGCTTTAGTTGTATTTATTTTTGAACGTATATTTATGATTCAAAAGTCAAAACTATATAGAAAGGTTTACACAGGAAGTCTTGCTTCCGCTGTCCTCTCCATTCCGTTCTCCTCCACTCCTGTAGATAACCACTCCCTACAGACAGCTATCCTTTCAGTATTTCTTCTTACAAATACAGATATGTGTACATATTCTTACTCTCTCTGCCTGTTATACAAATGATAGCATACTACGTACACCTTGGGGGTTTTTTTCTTGACAATATATCTTGTAGATTTCTCCACACCAAGATAGAAATCTGTGTTCTATTTTATGGCTGCATAGTACGCCACTGTATGGATGTACCATAGCTATTTTGAACAAAGTCTCTATTATTGCCAAAATACTTGGGTTGTTTCTATCTTTTGCTGTTACAAACAATGTCACAAGGCATGACCCTGGATGTATGTCCTTTTGTACTTTTACAAGGTATCAATAAGACAGATGCTCAGACGCACAGTGGCTGGGTCAGAGGGTAAGTTTGTTGATAATTTTCTTCATTATTACCAAATGTTTCTAAAAGAGCTGTTGCATTTTTGGTTAACACTTGCATTATATGAGAACGCCTGCTTCCCTATAGCCTCACCAACAGAGCATGTTGTCCAGCTTTTAGATTGTTGCCAAGCTGGTGAGACGGTTGTAATTTTGAAGTCTAATGAAAAATGAAGCATACTTTTATAAAAGCCCCTACTAAGTAATACTTCAGTATTTGGAATGGTCCTTCTTCCTTCCTTCTTTTCTTTTTTCCTTTAAATACCATAGCCCCAAACATTTTGTCTTTAGTTTTATAGGCTTAGTTGTGTATTCCAGAACCTGAAGCATTCTGGATACGATGAATTAGACTGACTGGTGTAGGTAAGAAAGATGAAGAATTTAAAATCCTGACTGATGTCCTGGGTGCTGGTCTTCCTCCAGCCTCTGCACACTGCCCGTGCTGGGTCCCCATAACACCAGGCTGATCTCTTGACCTTGACTGAACATCTCCCTGTCCACTTTCTCACCGCCAGCAATCCCCTGGCGTCCACCTCACAAATATTACCTATGACAGGCAGGGTGCGATGGAGGGAATTTTTAAAGACTTGCATGAAGTGCAGTTAGCAGACTAAGAACAAGAACAATGATGAGAGTTGTTACACACACGCCCCAGCCAGAGAGACCGAGGTCTAAAGAGGAGTGGCTCAGGTTATTTTCAATAAATTTTATTTATTTTTTATTTTATTTATTTACTTATTTATTGTGAGGAAGATTGGCCCTGAGCTAGCGTCTGTTGTCAATCTTCCTCTTTTTGCTTGAGGAAGATTGTTGCTGAGCTAATATCTGTGCCAACCTTCCTCTATTTTATGTGGGACGCCGCCACAGCATGGCTTAAGGAGTGGTGCTAGGTCCGTGCCTGGGATCTGAACCTGCGAACCCCGGGCCACCAAAATGCAACACATGAACTTAACCATACACCACCAGGTTGGCCCCTCAATAAATTTCATTTTCAATAAAAATGTTGATATAAAAGATATATCTTTTTCTATTTCATTTGCACTCAGATCATTAAAGATGGCTTTGAGTAAAGCACTGGAGAAGGCGTAAGGGTTTTTATGAACACACAGGACATTCTCAGTGCTCATGACTAGAAAAGATGACAATGCAGAGTCCTGGGTCTGTAGGCTCTCCTGCCTCTCTGCCCTGCAGACAATGTTCCCGACCCTGCAAGGCTCCTGCTGTTGAACTTCCAGCCGCTTTCACTGTGAAACTTTCATATGGAGGCCGCCACAAGCCAAATGAACGCTTTCCTGGGAATATTAACTATATCTATTTCCCCAGAACCCTTAAATTTAAAACTTCTCAAAACAAAGAAAGCAAATCAACTTCTGACAGAGTAATACAATGCCAAGAATACAATGCCAAGATTGCCTGTCATATAATAGCCAGAATCTTACACTGGAGTGAAAAAAAAAATTAGAAGTTAAACTAAAGTATCTAGAAAATACATCACAACTCAGGTATCATTAGCCTAATTGTGGATCAATCACGTTAATAATTTTATTTTATTTTTGGTACAAAGGAAATATTGAGTATCTGTATCTAATAATTTTAATGATCTTGAGCTCTTTGGAAGTATATTAAGAAAGATTTTCCAATGGCATATTTTACTGATAGCATCTTTTAAAAAAATCATAAGTCTATAGGGTGGCCAAAAAGTCTTTTTTCATGCTACTTAAAAGTTATATATGGGCTCCTCTCTACAGAAATCTTATTTCCTTCATGTTTTCCCAGACATCTTCTCTCATAGCTGGAAAGCATTGAAGCATCCATTGTAGCTGTTTCTAGGTCTTTGGCTCCTGTTACATGGGGTGGAGAACTTTTCTTTCCTAATGTCCCAAGGCAAAATTGACCGTTTGTTAAGTAGGGATCCTGAGAAGGTCATGCTGTGGAATGTTCTCTAGCTCCAAGAGTAGAATGTTGATGCACTGCCTTGTCGTCTTTCTCATTCCTGCGCCAACCACCGTGAAGTGCCCTCAGATGAGCAGAGTGGCTGGCACTTGTCTTGCTCTAATATGGTTCTGTCAGGTCATCTTCTGAAATCACTGCCCGTATCCTGACATGAGAAGGATTCTGCTCAGTCTCCTTAGAACAATGCATTGATTACTAAGGACGCATTCTCAAGCATGGGGGCTGTTCAGGAAGTGTCACAAGAGCTCAAATATATCAGTCACATTGGTACTATGCCCGGGGGGAAGGGGATGTTGCCCCATTATTGCTCTGACTGGTTGCAGAGGTCATACATTCATTCAACAAGTACCAGTGGAGGACCAGGTCCTATGTTAGGCTCTGGATAGACAGAAATGTGGGGTGCCCTCCTGGAGCACTCAGTCTAGGGGTGGAGACACAAACATTCACAAATACTTACAACACGAGATAATAAGGGCTAAAATGGTGATGTCTACAGGTTGGCTTCATAGCTCAGAGGTGACTATTCCATTGGGTGTGTGGGAACTGTGGCCAGGAAGGTTTCACAAAGAAAGTCATATCTGGGCTGAATTTTGGAAGATAGTAGCTTTTAACCAGCCAGTGGGAAGGAGCACAGAAAGCAGCAAAGGTTCAGGCAGAGATGTATGAGAGAGCCTGGTGGGGCAAGGAATTAGAAATGGAATTCACCAGGGATGATGTCACCAAGCGGGCGAGCAGTGAACCGGACTCAGGAGGAAGCGTCTGGACAGTCAGGGGAATGACGTGCTGGACGTTCGGGGGAATGACGCACACAAAGGCACAGAGAGAGGAACTGGTGTATGAGGGCAGAGGGGACGCTACCTTGACCAGGGCAGGGCTGTCCCCAGGGAAACTATGGTGAGCTGGCTGGCCACAGGGCCCTGACAGAAAAGGAAGAGGAGCACCCTCAGGATGGGGGCGCTGGTGGCCATGAGGAAACGAGGTTGGTGAAGGAAAAAGAGAAAGCATGGAAGAAGCCTCGAGCTAGAATGGTCCCAGGGAAGTCAGAGGAAGAGAAAAATAATTCTAAGACTTAAAGAGCCACTGGAGGACCTGCAGGCTGGTTCATTTGTCTCCTTTTGCAGATAAGGAAGTTGATGGGTCTGCCACCATGTGCTTCTTTCAGGTCAAAGACTGTTGTATGTCCATGAAACTCCCATCCCGCCCTCACCTCTGAGTCTTTTTGTTCCTACTTGACTCTTAGAGGCGCTTAGATGATCTAAATAGACCTCCCATCCAGGCTTTAATAAGCAGGAGTAGAATGAAAATCACAAAACACCACACTTCAGATTTCAATATATATTTCCAAAAGATTGAAGCAGAGAAAAGCCACGAAAAGACAAGTGGGTTTTGCTAGGAGAAAAACGTCATTAGCAATCATAGATGAAACTTTTCCAGTGGCCAGGTGAGGTTAGAAATCAGAATAGGGCAGGGATGAAGATATAAAATAAAGGCAGGTGGACTAACTGTCCAGGGAATTTACCCATGGAAGGTCAGCAGAAAGGTTATTCTAAAGTTTTGACCTTGAACCTAACATTTTTGTGACTTCCATGAATTATCTCACATTAGTAAGAAGGTCTAGTCTAGTTAATGATAAATGTATCAAAGGATAAATTGCAATTTGCAACACTGTTTTTTCCAGACCCAGTGAGGTTTCTAGTAACAATGTGTCTGGTTGTCTCCAAAAGTTTGTCATTCTTCTCCCATCCTTCCCCCTTCCCCTTCCCTTGCAGTTTCTTTCTTCCTTCCTGGTCTTCTCCATAGCACCCACCGGATGAGGCATATTCTCATTTCTGTGCACCCATCCTTCCTTGTCATTGCAACCAAGGGGACCCACGCGGCCCCACACAGCAGGGTGGGGGGAGGTTCTAGAGGCCCAGGGCCAGCAATCCCCTTTACTTCTCCCTTCCCTCTGACCTTAATACCAGCATTTTGTTGTGAGGATTATTCACGGTTCTTCATTATCACCTCCAAAGTGAAAATGCCCCACGTCACCCACTGTCTTATCTAGCCACAGAATCAAGGAATGAACTTTGGCCTGGAAAATCGCCCCCATACTGCATCCCCTTTCCCTACCTCCCCCTGGGTCAGTGCCTAGCTTGATCTACCAAGGATCAGCTGTAACTTGGCAATGACAAATCCTGGGATTCCACCCTTTAGGAAATGGGTTGAGGATGCACAAGCCTGAACTATTAGGATGGAAGGAAAAACTTTTTCAGTATTTAGACATATTTTCCTTTTCCTACTTTCAGCCCATTCATATGTAGGGCTGTTTCTGAGATGTTGTGCAGTAAACAGGATTTGTCCCTGGCATCACAGCCTCGCCATTCACTGTACTACTCACTCCCGCTTCATCTCACCTTCTCTCTCGTCCTCATTTCCTCCTCCTCTTCTCCTCTTCTTCCGTGTCAAAGCAGGCCTTCAGGAACAGATAGGAAATACATTCATACTAAGGTGTGAATGACTGATTAGAGCTTAAAGTATTACTCATTAGAAACATATTTGCATTTTGACAGGGCTCAAAGCCTTTAAAGAAAGGACTAAATCAATAAGTCTCTAATGGAGAAATTTTAATTAGGTAGCAGAAGAAATGTTTAGGGTTGAGTGGAGACACCCGGTTTTCCTGAAATCACACAACAGACACCTATTCTATTTAGAAAACAAAATGCATACATGTGCACACACATACATACACACACACACACACAACCTACTTACCTATTTAATTCCAGGCAATACGTTAAATGGTTTACATATATTCTCTCCTTTAATTCTTACCGCAAAAAAACATGCAAAGTAGATATTCAGTGTTTCACATACATCCTACTACACAAAAAGGTTAAGTAAATTGCCAAAACATGTATAGCCCGTAAATGTGGAACTGGGATGGGACTCTGACTTCCTCCCACAGATCAGGAAGACCCCAGAGGGAGTACTCTTTTCACGTGGTGGGAGCAGTTTTCCTCTTTGCCTCCTGGGTTGCTTAGTTAAGCAACACATATAGAGCTTTAAAAAATCTTTTCTCATAAGTCATCTTTAAAAGTCCCCTTAGTCATCTTTGTTTTTCTCTGATCTCCCCAGAGTTTGTGTGTGTCATCCTCATGATGATGTGCCCCAAATGAAACAGTGGCCTGGTCTATTTTCACTTTTCAGCCTATGCAGGAACTAAAAAATAAACAGCATATGGTGAAAAGTTAATGAGATTGAAAAAAATAAGTTCCCTTGAAATAATCCACAGGCTTTTCTACATGTGTTCTTGGTCGGTTTTCAAAAACCACAGGAGTTTTACTATGCTTCAGAAAAAGGTGAATATTTGCATTGTTTCTGTTGGGGTCGGTGGGAAACCAATCTCATAGCATCAGCACTAATTATCATGTTGTATAGAAACAAGTGCCACACTACACTGGTACAGACCAAGACTTACTGTGCTGTGCTCGAGCATTAAAGATGGTCACAGCAACTCGGCAATGCTCTCTCCAGTTGCAAATCTCATGTCGCATGATGCTCCTTTAGCCAAGAATGATGAAGTCTTACCTAGAGTGGAAGAGGGGAAACCAGACAGTTTCTGAGGGGAGCAACCCTCTGAACACAGCTTAGAACTTCTATTAGCATAACAGGTAGACCTGACCTTTTAAGAAAAACTTCCTACACCTTTGAAGCAAATAAAAAAAGAAGTTAAGAATCCTGTCTTTATCTTAAATGAGTAGTCGCATAAAAAGTTATTGTTGCTTATGCTCCATCAGTTCCCTGCATTGAAAGAAACAATTAATTTGAAAATGCATGTAAATAATTTTATTTGTACGTTTGTGTTGTCACAAAGTTCTCTCGACAAATGCTAAAGAGCCCGCTGTGGGTCCAGGATTGTTCTGAGCATTGTGGAAGATATGAGAGAAATTGAAGATAGGGACTTTGTCCTTAAGGAATGGATAATCTAGCTAGAGAGATGAAAGGTCCTTAATACAATAAAGAATAGCATCAAACAGTTCCCTTGTGCCCAGGACTGTGCTAAGAGCTTTGCAGGGCTTGCTTCATTTCATCCTCAGAAGCCCCGTGAAGTAGGAGCTATTATTTTCTGGGTTGTATACAGGAGGAAATCAAGGCTTGAGACGTTTACTGAACTCTCAAAGGTTGTTGTGAGAATTGTATGAGAAACCATAATGCAGTATATCAGGTTTATATTTTGTTCCCATCCCTCCCCCCCACAAAAAGGAAAAAAAAAAGAATTTCAAAATGAAGCAGAGTAAAACCAAAATCAGTAGCTTAAACAGAAGTAAACAGAAGTTTATTTTTCTCTCTCATAAACCTAGTCCGGAAGTGGAGAGTGACAGAGCCAGCACTGCAGCTTCTCTCAAACACATGGGCACACCTCCCTCCAAAGGGATCCAGGAAATGTAGACTCTTTTTACAGATGGTCTTGTGCTCAGTTAGAAATTGGGGCTTCTATACTAAAGGTGAGGAGAACAGATGTTGGGTTAGGCAACTTGCATCTCTGCCATATGTATGCAAAGTGCTGGGCACAGGATAAATACTGTAAATGTTAAGCAATAATAGTTATAAAAGTCAGAGCAGCCTAGAAGGGCCTCAGTTTATTGATTAAATGTGACTAATTTCTGCCTGAGGTTTCCTCTTTCCAACACTTACGCCCTATCCCTAAATAGGGAAGTGAGAAGACAGGAGGGCATTCTAGGTGCTCTAAACACTGGTTCCTGGGAGCATCCACTCCCAGGGCTTGTCTCTCTGTTTCCTCCTCTAGACCTGCGAGGTGGCTTGCCCCAAGCTTTGCACCTGTGGAAAGGTGGCAGAAAACCAAGTCATGATGCAAAACAAGGATACTGCCCAGGCCCGGGCATTTCCCAACCTAGGCTTCTGCTTGCTTCTCATGTCCCTTTCAGGGCCTGCAAATGATAGCTCTGGCCTCTGACAAATGGCCGAGGAGCAGGGCAGCCTCACTGTGTAACTCCAGGGGACAAGGAGTCACACTGGACAGAGGCGTCCTTTAGATCAGTGACAACAAGCATGGAACTCTGGTGCTGTGTGAACAGGAGGTCTTGGGAAGAGGGGCTGGTTGTAACTCATGGGTTGGGTATCTTGATTCACTTGGTTCATTTGGTTGAAAAAGTTTTCCATGAATCATCTCAATGTCACAAATTCCTAGATAAGAGAAAGGCTCTCAGGCCACAAAATATTTGCACTGTATGGATTTGAGGAGTTGCCTTCAGCTTCTTAAAACTTCTAAACTGTCTTTAGATAGAAGATTCTTCTATGAGCAGAGTTGGCTTATCAGAGCAGTGGTGGGGAGGGAGGCGTGGGGGAGAGCGAGGTAGAGAATACTGGATGGGATAGATGGATAGGGTGGGGCAGACAGGATGGCAGGGATAAAAATTGGAGATTCCAGCTGCTTCATACCTTGGTTTGGGCCAGGAAGGGGTGGGGTGGAAAAAGAAGTGGAGGTAAGGCCTTTATCCTTCCATTTCCTCACTCCCATATCTAATCTATTTCCAAGCCCTTCTATGTTATCTCCTCGCTGTCTGTCTCATGGAGGGCCACTGCAAGCATGCATGGTGCTTTGTGCAAAGTAGAAGACATCTCATCCTCCAGCGGACTCAGTCCTGTGCCAGGACTCAATGAGTGGAAAGTAAGGCTCTGGCTGAACTGCAGCCCCCACTCACGTCCTTGACTGGGAGCTCTTGAGCAGTGAACGATCCACACATTCTTAAGTGGTGGACTCACTGGAGTCAGTTCACTTATCTCCCTCCCCGTGGTCCTTCTTGCCCCCATCCAACTCTCTCATCTCTCATCTCTCACTTGGACTGTGCTCCATCATGACAGATAAGTGGGTGAGCCATTTACAAAGAGACTCAGACTTAGACTTTGGTGTTGTTGCCAAGTAAGGTTACACATTTGGTCCTAGAGATACAATGACTAGATGAAAAGATGTTCATCGTATTGTTTGTGTTTCAACTTATGATCTATCAACAAGGACCACACAGCCTGCAGGGCACTATGAATTAATTAAAATAAATAAATCAGAGTTTTTCTTTGAAAAGCACACTTGTATTGTAGTTTTCAGGCCAAATGTTTTTTAAAATGTAAACATTAAAATAAATCAATTTCTATGATCTTCTTTTATTAGTTCTTAATATCACAATATACTGGGAGCCTTGATAAATGAAAGTGGTCAAGGCCTCCCAGGCCCAAGAGGCACAAGCCTGAACTCCTGGGACCTGATCCCCATTCTAACTCCCATCTGCTCTGGCTCCACCTCCGAGGCCCGCAGCCAGAGGATTCTGTGACAACCCAGATCTGATCATGTCAGCCCCTGCTTAAGGGCTGAGGCTACTTGACACTGCTCTCGGAACGCAGGCCCTGAGTGAATTGGGATGTGGGGTCCAGCATAGTGGCCCCCATCTCCGCAGCAGCTCCGGGCACACCTGCCAGACTCTGCTCTCCAGCTCCACTGGGCTCCGGCTGTTTGGGATGCCCTTTCTCTTCCTTCCCTGGTTGATGTCGCCTCACTTTTCGGTTTTCAGCCCAAACCACATTTCCTTGGGGAAGCCTTCCCTCAGGTCCCAGCCTACGTCAGGCTTCTTGGTTTATTCCCCTCATAGAACTCTGTATCTTTCCATAAGAGCACGTTATCTCCGTGCAATTATCCAGTTATCAGTGTGGTCATTGGATTAACGTCTAGCAGGTACACTCAATGGGGTAAGTTCCTTGTTTTCTTTTCTTTTCTTTTCTTTTTTCCTGGGTGCAATGGTTGCAGAGCCTAGCACAGGGCCACTGTGGAGCAGGCGCTCAGCAATTATTTATGAATGAATGAATGGGTGTGAGCCAAGAAGCTACCTTCCCAGCTGCTCCTGGTGGCTTATGCTTTAGGAAGGAAACCTTTCACCTGAATGGTCCTTGAGAAAGCAAGTCACCAGCAGCACAGGGAGGTGCAGCTGGAGAGGAGGCATCTGAAAGAGAAGATGCCAGGCATAGCTCACTGAATTTTAAGTCCTATAGGAACATGTCACAATGTGGAAATTTCCTTTAAGTTAGGGAGAGGAAAAAATTATTTATGCTTGACAACTTGGGCATTTTCAGAGGAATGCATTATAATCACATTCTCAATGAAATTATGATGTCATTTTGTGTAAGACAAGCATATAACCGAGTCCTTTGGCCTTTACTGGAACAATCAGATGACTGTCAATCATGTACTCTTCCAGGTGCCCACTGATTCTCTTAATGAATTAGGGGCAATGCAATAGAATATAAGCAAGGGGAAATAAAAATCACGAATGCGCCACAGTAATGCACATGCGTTCTTCTTGTTTGGGACTTATTGTGCTTGAAAGTAGCCTTATTTTAGAAGTTTATGTGTGCTAGAAACAATTAATTACATATGAGAAACATCCAAAAGTTCCTCAGATCAGTCACTGAAATCTTTCTAGAATATTGAGGCAATTAGCTCTCCAAATGACTTCCCTTTGTATTCCTGATTATTATAAAATGACCTAAAGAATGCTCACTTCCCTTGGGGCCGGTCCCATGGCAGAGCAGTTAAATTCCTGTGCTCTGCTTGGTGGCCTGGGGTTCACTGGTTCAGTTCCCGGGCATGGACCTATGCACTGCCTCTCAAGCCATGCTGTGGCAGGTGTCCCACATACAAAGTAGAGGAAGATGGGCGTGGATGTTAGCTCAGGGCCAGTCTTCCTCAGGGGGAAAAAAAAAGCTCACTTCTCAAGTGTTTATTTATAAGGAACTAGAGTAATCTATAAAGTGCGTTTATCTAAGCAGCAGGTTATCATTTGTAGAAGCCATATAGCTGATGATATGACATGATATAATCATAATGATTATATAAGATGATATATTCTTCTTTTCAAAGGAGAGAATATTGAAATACACTAGCAGGTACTCAATAGATGATTTTGAAGATGGCAAAATGAATGAGGATAATACTTTGAATAGAATGAAAGAAATGCCATTGAACACACATTTGTCTAAAAGTTCTAGAAAACTTCTAAACTAGGCTCTAATAAAAACACTTCCTACACATCATTCAAAGTGTGGACAGTCCAGCTAAGATAAAAAGTACAATGTTCTAAAATGTAATAAGATGTTTCCTTATTCATTTAATTGGTGTTACTATGTTTCTCTTTGGAGAGAAATTGTAGTAGCCTAATGTTCAATGTGACTTAGGGTTCTCGAAATCTAGCTCCAACACTGGTGGGCTCCCAGTGTCCCATGTGAGCCGGGCCAGACTGAGGATTGGGGCGAGGTGCCTGGCTGGCGGGAGCCAGTGAGGCACAGCTGCAGGGGATGCTGGGGAAGTCTGAGCTTGTTTCTTTACTGGCCAAATCCTCTGTGATATTTCAGGGCAGCCCTGGGTATGTTTTAGGGTAATTATTTATCTCCCCTAGTGAGGACAGGATGAAGCTAATATTTATCTTTTTAATTCTCAGGGCAGGTCACAAAGTAGATTCTAGATAAATTTGTTGAATGAAAAGTGTAGTTTATCCCCATCCAGTTTCATTATCCCCACTATTACAGTCTTAGCAAGTATAATATTATGTGCTACCGTTGGTCAGAGTTCCCAAATATATTTCAATTATTTTTTGCCTAGAGTTTTTTCAAATCCTACCTAATTGTTTTGCATCCTAAGCTTATGGGGCACTCTTAATTTGCATAATTGTTTCAAATCAAATGCTATATGCCATATCTTGCTTTTACTCAGCTATTCATTGCTAACGTCTAAATCGGAGAAGTGAAAAGGACAATTGTTTAGTGCTTTTTAAAGTCTCTGACCAAGATCAGTAGGGAAATCCCATTAGCGCCATTCATCGCATTTCTCATAAATCTAAAAGGAAAGCAAGTATCCAAAGCCTTATTCTTTAATAGTTCTTATTTGTAAAACCTTGACAGGGCTTTATTCTAAATTGCTTCCAAATTAGGGGAAGAATACTGAGAAATATGATGAGTAGTCAATCGTGATAGTTTCAGTTATCGAATAAATAACCAGAACAGTCAAAAGGGACTAATCTGAAAGCAAATGGTATGATGGGCCGCGATGAGGCAAAAAGAACAGAACTGTGGCATTCTCCAACTACCATCTGGCTCGGCCCTCTTTAAGTGGGCAAGTTGAAGGGCCCTTTATTCAGTGCCCTAACACTTATTCAAAAGGAGCAGTATTTGAATATCAATTTTTCATATGGTGAAAAAACCCCACCAAAACTCCTTTTGTAGCCAAAAAGGAATGTTTAACAAAATAATGGGTAATCCTCTGGCTAAACACGAGGGCGTGGGGCCACCTGTGGGTGGGAGGTCGGCTGTGGCTCTAGCGTGGCCACTGGGGCCTTCACCTCGGAGGCGTCTTTGTGGCTGGAGTGACTTCCTAAAGTTGTCATTATGGTTTGAAATTTAGGCAAGAGGTGTAAAAATAAGGACTTCATTAGGAAAAATGAACATGGTGATCCCTAGTACCTTATTTCATCCAAAAAACAGTAATGTAGAATTGCCATAGAGGATAATGGAGGCGAGTGACACAATAGAAATGATCAGCTGTAGTCCAAATTGTGCTTTTGTGAAATGTGAACCTACGTCGTCACTTTCTAACAGACCCCTGACAATTGCCGTTTTGTTTATTAAGTCCTGGATTTTCAAATCAAACTCTAAGAGGCCTTTATTTTGTTTTCTTGAGAAGGTGTGTTTGAAAAGTACAAGCTGAATAAATAAGAGCCCACTACTTATCTTCAGCAAGATGCTTTAAAAGAGGTACTCGAGCATTTTCTGTGGTTTAAAAGACAAGACCCAGGCCTGCTGGCTTTGTGTTGTGCTTTTCTTACAGACTGCGGTGCCTTCTGTCTGCTTTAGGGTGTGGCATCTGCCATTGGGGAGGAGAAACTGGCATGTGTCGCCTTTTATAGCAGACTGATTTCATTGTGCTCAGGGCCTGTATTCATAGCCTCTTAGTTCCAATCTTCTAGTTGACTTGCTGAAGCAAATGGAATTAAAAGAGACTTCAACTTATATACTTATTTTCTTCTTTTAGTTTTATTCTTTACCCATATGAAAAAATATTTTTAAGAAATGGCCCAGAGTTGAACTTGGTGACTCATTTTCCCTTTTAGGATTCGTTGTGAAAAGAAGCCACCAAATATGGCTACACTTGTATGAACTGACTTTGATATATTTTATCAGTTTGAAAAAAATATACTTTTATGATTGTATGGATATATTTAGGTTGACTATAAATGTCTAAAAGCAAAAATATGTAATTGATTTTAAAATATATGTATATATACACATACACAAAACAGACATATATTTATATTTGCACATGAAAAACTTTAAAAATTCAACTTATGTGGTGTGATGTGTATAATTAGCATGGGTTTGAATATATAAAAGGAGAAAATCGAGGAGAAAATGTTGAAAAGGTACACTAACAAAGATGTAGTATTCTTTTGGCAAAAACTGATGAATGGTTTGGCATGAATTCATCTTACAGTTCTGTTATTCTCTTACGCATGACTTATAACCCCAGTTTTCCAGTTGTTTCTATAGAACTGCCATTTTTTGTTTCCACACTCTATGATGATCCTTGGGTGTGCACCTGATTTCCCTCCCTCCCAATTACTCCCCAGTTTTTCCCATCTCCCCTTTTCTATTTAGTCACATAACATACCTGCACTTGGTCAAGCAAACAAAAATAACCACAGCAGGTGAAATGAACTAAAAGAGCCTTTACGAAAAGCTGAAGAATGAAATGATTTTAGAAAACTACATTCTACCCAAATCATATACATTATTTCAGCTAGAGTGACCTCTATTTCAGCTAGTGAAAGCTCTGGTTTCAAAGGCCTTCTCTGGATGAAAACTGAGTCCACACTAGTACAAACGGAGCCATCGCTTAGGTTAAGAAGTCCTGCGCTAAAGATATTCAAAATGTTCCTAGCCGATGAATCCACAATAATTAAAACATCATAGAGTGATAAAACAACAGATAGTATTTTTAAAAGAACAAAGTATGAAAGATTTCTGCTCTAGGACCAGATGTGACTGACGTATATTATTATTGAGCTTCTGTTTATTAAATATAACATGTATTTGTTTTAGCTTTGTTTCGCATTGCTTGGCTATGAACTCCTATCAAGAGGGTTAATTGTGAGCATTAACCTCTGAAATAGATGAAAGGTGTCATATGGCTTTATGAAGATAGGAGATAAAGCTTAGCTGTCGCTATTATGGCACCAAGAGTTAAATTTCCATGTGCAAGTTGTTTGAAGCATAACACACCACTTCCATACTTGAGGACTTCCCCTTAGAAAGAGGACAGACAAGTGCATTGTATGCTCCTCTGGGAATGTTCTTTTTTCATTGATAAGCCTCCACACATATATCAGGCGCCCTTAAAAAGTTATATCAACGTTATCTTTGGGGCAGGTGCAAGCATAAGCATGTATTGAGTACTTGCTGTGTACAGGGCACAGCGCTGCCTGAATGCGGCTGACCTTCCCCCAAAGTCTCCCCTAATTTTGCAGTTTGAAGAAGTTGTGGGAATTGCGCTGACGGCCCGCCATCAGGGCTGCGAGGCTCCCATGCTGAAAAAATTACATAACTCCTGGGCGAGGCAGCGCCTTCTGCCCAGATCGCCCGAATATTTTCCTTCTCCGGCGGCTCCTCGGAACCTTCGAGGCCAACCGACAACTTTGCTCCCCAGCCCTTCTCCCTCTTTTGTCTGCTCGTCAGACTCGTTTTCCACCTTCGGCTCGTTCCTTTTCGACGTGAAAACAAACACGCGAGCGCCTGGTTGGCAAGGAGACGGAGGCACGAGGGGAAAGCGCAGCCTCCCGGCGCCCCGCGCCGCCGCCGCGCTCCGGGCGCCCGCCGGGCCGGCCCGAGCCCCCGATCCGGGGCCGCCGGGGGCCCGCGAGCCTGCGCCGGGCCGGGCGGCGGGCGGCGGGGCCCGGGCCGAGTCCAGTCCGCGTTTTGCGAGTGCACCCGAGCGATCGGAGAGAAGTGGATAATAGTTGCTCGGGCTCGCTCGGCTCCCTCTCCTGCCATGCTGGGCCCGGGAGGCTCGGGCAGGCGTGTATTTACCCAGATCCGGGGGAGCGAGGAAAAAAGTTGCATTTAAACCTGAACTCAAAACTTTCACCATGAAATGCCCCCGCGGGAACGGGCCCAGACCGTAAGGCGTGACTCCCGATCCGGCTCCGGCGGGGCCTGCGGAGGGGGAGGGGGCGCGCTCGCTTCCCGTCGGGGCGCGTGGATGCGCACAGGAGGGGCCGCCGCCTAAAAAGTGGGTTTTATTGTCTCCCCCCGCCCCCCGCCCGGCCTGGCCACGCCGCGGCGATCATGGCCGCGCGGGCAGCAGCGGCGGCGGCGGCGGCGGCGCGGGCGCGGGCGCGGACGGGCAGCGGCGAGCGGCGGGCGCCCCCCGGGCCGCGGCCGGCGCCCGGGGCCCGGGACCTGGAGGCGGGGGCGCGCGGCGCGGCGGCGGCGGCGGCGGCACCGGGCCCCATGCTGGGGGGCGGCGGCGACGGCGGCGGCCTGAACAGTGTGCACCACCACCCCTGCACCCCCGTCACGAACTGAACATGGCCCATAACGCGAGCGCGCCGGCCGCCGCCG